GGGGGGGCAGGGACAGGGCGAGGGGGAAGGGGTTGGAGCTGGAAGAGGGGAGATTGGGATGAGATCTGCGGAAGAAATGTTTCCCTGGGCGGGGGGTGAGGCAGTGGCCCAGGGTGCCCAGAGAAGCTGTGGATGCCCCATCCCTGGAGGGGTTCAAGGCCAGGCTGGATGAGGCTTTGGGCAACCTGGGCTAGTGGGAGGTGTCCCTGCCCATGGCAGGGGGTGGCACTGGATGGGCTTTAAGGTCCCTTCCCACCCAAACCCTTCTGTGACTCTGTGACACCGTGACACCCAAGCACTGATGCAGGATGGGAGCACAAACTGTCTCATCCTACTACAAATGAGAGGTTTAAATAGCAGTAGAGATCACTAGGTTTTAGCTTAAAATAAAAAGTTTAACTCACCTGCCCGACTTAGAATTTTCATGTTCACGAGTACAGCCCGTTCTGGCAAGATTTTAGGGACATTTCCTTTCTGGCTACTTACAAAACAATTCTTAGAGATATTATTGAGACTGATCTATTTCTACTTATATATTTCTGACACTTTTTTCTTTTTGGGCGGTGGGGTAAAGTTCCATTTAAACTAGACTGAATGCTCACTTCTCAGTCATTTAAAAGTGAATACCAGCTTTCCAACCCGTACCCCTCATCAGAGCAAAAGCTACACATGACAGATTTTCCCTTACTGACATCAAGAACAAAGTCATCATTCCATAGCTCTTATATTGTATATTTAATTGTCTTCAAAAGGATGCATTACAGTTTGGGGCGATGACACATTAATGTATTAGTAAACTACGCAAGGAGTTGTGCAAAATTAATTTCTGTCCTACAGCAAGAACGAACAAGATTATCTTATTGCATGAGAGATGCCAGAGGCTTTATCTTCCCCTCAGCACCGTCCCCATTAAGATGAATCAGCCACAAACGCACGTTCCAAAGAACGCAACTCGTATGAAATCTTATCGAGTTATCAAGTGACTTGCCTCCCTCCTGTCCTTTCCTCCTGTACAAGAAGACAGCCCAAGCCAAAGAACACAACTCGTATGAAATCTTCTTATCGAGTTATCAAGTGACTTGCCTCCCTCCTGTCCTTTCCTCCTGTACAAGAAGACAGCCCAAGGCAAATGCATCATAAACCTCGACACGACTAATTCCGCGCTCGGGAGACAAAGCTCCGAAAGGAGCCCTTTGAAGAAGCCCAGGAGAAGAGCCGAGGGTGTGCAGGATGGAGCGACGCTGCAGGGCGGCTCTCCAACATCCAGTACAGCTTTTTAAAAAGTTCCACATGTAGGACAAATAAGCCATAAATTTAAAACAGAGCAAGCGTTACTGGGGGAAGGTGTTCCCACTGCTGCTGGGTTTTGTTGCCAGAGGAGTACACACATTTCTTTACAGCCCTAAGCCCTGACTTTTGGAAGCGTGCTGCTCCCATGGCTTTATATCACTAAGTATTGAAATGGTCTTCTTTTTTTATTTTTTATTTCCTTTTTTTTTTTTTTTTTTTTTTTCCCCAGCTCCCTTTTCCAAAGAGTAGCTTAGTGACAGCAAACTCAAGCCTGGGGGCCAAAGGGAAAGAATCAGATTTACTCTTCTTCTCTAAAAACCCAATTTTTAAGTGTAGCTCAAGCTTAGCACTGGGTGGAAGCCCAGGACAAGACACTAAAGGTGCGCTGGGTGTTTCCAGAGAGAGAGAGAGCCTGGAATGATAGTTCTGGAGACTTACTGTCTGTAATTAACACAGAACAGGCTAATTAATCTCCATGCAGCTGCTCTGAGAGCAGGACTCATGTCCAGTTCGGTGCCACTGGTTGCAGGTATGCCACAGCAATTCAGTGCAGCGCTGTGCTGGTGTTCGGAGGCGTGTGCCAGACAGTGGAGCGGTGCTGCTGAGACCCAAGAATGCAGCAGGCAGGGAGCAAACTCCTCTGCTGGAGCTCTCCGGCAGCGCTGATCAGCCCGTTCCGTTTCTCAGAGCTCACCCATCAAGCTCTGCCATAAACCAAAGCCCATCTGGGAACATTAAACTCTCCCTGCACTTTAAAAAAGGCAAGGATGTCCTTTAAAAAGTGCCTCCGTGTCCTGGCCAAAGGCCAAGTGGGTTAACAACCTCTTTTCTTCCTCTTCTCCGAAATCCTGGTGCCTTTGACCCAATGCATGCTGTACATTTTTGTATAAAGTTATTCTTCTTTCTCCTGATGCTTTTCCCCTGCATCCCTGAGATGCTGAACTTCTGGGATGCCTTGTTTGAGCTGCCGCACGGATGAGCTGGAGGAAAGCTGCTCTGTGTTGACAGCAGGAAGGGATTTAGCCGCATGTAATCTGAGTGCAGGTGCCCAGAATGACAGGGCAGGGCAGTGCACAGCTGAGTCTCGAACGTGCTCATAAGCTGCAAAAATAAAACTGTATCAACACTTAATAAATAGACAACAGGCGGTAAGCAAGCACTAGGGAGGATTCATCACTTTGCCTTTGGTTTTTGTCAGGCACATTTATATAAAAAGAGGGAACAGGTTTGGGATCTATTAGTCGGGTTGGTTCTTCCATCCAGCCTTTGGGTTGCGGACAGCCTTTAGGCTTGACAACCAGGATGCCTCAGCGGACAGCGCAGGCTGGGAGATGATCTGTGAGCTTCCCGGTTTCCTCCCTTGACCCCTCCTTTTTGTCCAAGTCTTTGTCCAGATTCCTTGCTCTGCCGGGAATCGCTTTATTCCAGGGTCTGTCACGCTCTCTGCTTATATCCTGGGGCTTCTGTAGCTGGGAAGAACACACCAGGTACAGTGTCAGCTCTGTCCACCCAGTCTCCACACCCGAGTCAGAGATCTCATCCCTGTGCTCATCTCCAGCCTCTTGCTGGGACAAAGCCCATGCTTCCGCACGGTCACACCGCTGCTTTTTAACTCTTCCTTCACTTCATAGCAAGAACCCCTTGGTGTTCCCCGACAGACAGCAAACAGAACCCCACCAGGAGGAGTGATGCTCTTAAAAACGGGGGACAGAGCCTAGCTTTGGGCTGTGCCTTTGGGCTGATGGCTGCGACCAAGCCCTGTGGCCAAGCTGATGAGCAGAGTGGTTCAGCCCTTTGGGCTCCTCTCTCTTGGATCTCCAGCACCTCGGTGCCCTTCAGGACACGTTCCCTCGGCCACAGCCCCCCCAGGACCCCTCCCCGCGCCCCAGCTCACCTGGCTGCATGCGCACCAGGCGGCACAGCCCTTTGCCCGCCTGGTTCTTGTACACAGGCTTCACGCACACTTTGTTGGTGGTGCCGGCGGCCAGGTCCGTGAGGAGCACGCTGTGGATCTGCGGCGAGACGCTGAGGACAGAGGAAGGGCCGCTTTGCCGCCGGCATCTGACTCTGTAACCCAGGACTTTGCCGTCGGCTGAGTCCCAGGAGGCTTTCAGGGTGTTGGAGCCCATGTCTTCAAAGCGAAGGTGCCTCACTTTGGAGCCCTCTAAAGACAGAAGATTCATGTTACTGGGGGCCACTGGTATGGATGGTCCTTACCGCCCAGCTCCTCGTTCCTCCCAGGGGGGGATTCTGCTGGGAAGGGGGTGCCAGCCAGCCAGCTCTCTCTCTGCTGTAGGGATGCAATAGCCCATCACTCCACATCTCCACTCAGCCTAGTTTGTCCTTAACTTTGTCCACAAAGCACAAAGCACTTTTGCTGGCACTGGCCGTCCACCTCCCGCACCCTCAGCTGCTGTCCCTCGCTGAGCTCCTCGCTCCTGAGTCCCCATACGAGCTGGATTTTGGCTCCTGCAATATCTTTACAGGTACCTCTTCAGAGCAGAGGCTTCTGCTGGCGAAATCCCCACCCTCTGATGCTCAGTCACACCCAAGAACACACACGGAGGACATGGGAGGGACAGGCAGGTTTTTTTCTTCTTTAGGGAGATTCAGGGATCTCCGGGTTCTGCGTGTGGCAGCTTGGCAGAAAGACCCTGTACCAGCAGCCAGGTTGGGCACGCCTGACTTTCCTTCAGTCCTCTCCCTTCTATGTGCTGCTCAGCAAAAGCTGCATCTTTCCCCTTCCCTCGTCCCTCCCCAGGGCTGAGCTCTCCGGCTGCGCCTAGAGGCAGATGATCGGTGCAGAGGCACGGGCACACTTCGGATCCTCCTTTTTTTTCCCCACCATCAGTTTGCTCACTCACCTTCCTGAGTGCACGCCTTAGCCGACAGGGATTTCTCCATCCCCGATTTGTAGATCGCTGTCACCGTCACCAGGTAGGTTGTGTTGGGTGCCAGATTCTCCACCACGGTGCTGTTGCGTTTGCCATCCACCTCCAGCAGCTTCACCGCGTTCCCGGGCAGCGGTCCGTACAGGAGCTGGTAGCTGGCCACGCTGTCTGGGGTAGGAGCCCAGCTCACCTGGAAGCTGTGTGGCCCCGATTCCGAGATGAGAACCTGAGCTGGGCTTATTTCCTCTGAAAACGACGTAAAAAGAGGTGAATGAGTACGTAATGCAAGGAATTAGTATGTAATTCAAGGCAGAAGGATACTGTCAGAGGAGCAGAATTGACCTGCACCGTGTTTAGCTTCCAGGAGGTGGAAGCAAATCCAGCCAGCACGTGGATGTTGGGAGTCAAAAGCCAGCACAGCCCAGCTCAGCCCTAAGAAAACGGTTTATCTAGCTGTGCAGCACAGAGTGGGCAAAACTACCCAGCCAAAACTGTTCTTGCATGCCCAAAATTAACACTGGATGCAAAAGCTCATCTTGACTTTGTCACCCCTGCTCAGATTTTTGCTGTGCCGCTTTTATGCGGGATGCTATCCAGCATAAATCTGAGTTATTCTCCTGCCCCACATGACCAGTGTGCACAGAGGGGCTGGCTTCTGCTCCCCCTCCTTCCCTCTTACACCCGATCCACCCGCCGGGAGAAGCACCATGCCCCGCTCCCAGAGCATCGCTCTCCCCAGCTGCACCCGCAGCTCAGGCAGGAGCCGGGATCTCCGTAGCAGCCGCTCGACCTGTGAAGGTGTAAATTCCCCTTTGGCAGTGACCCACACGAGGCAGTGTCACTGTTGCCTGACTGTCACCCTGGGACAGTGTGTGCTTTGTCCCCAGCGGGCTCTCCACCCCAGCCCTGCTCAATACCTGCAAGCTGCAGCTCCTGCTGCCTCCTCCCAGGGCAGCGGGCTCCGCTTTCCTCCAGATTCATAGAATTTTAAATTTGGAAGAGCATCTTATGACCATCAGAGCTGATCCCCTGTTCTGGGCAAAGGAAAGAGCTGCCAGCCGAGTGCCGGCACAAAGATGTTCTGTCCTGACCAGCACCGTCAGCCTGCTCCCGTCGCACCGTGAGGCTGTGGGGCGCAGACCCGGGGCTGTCCTCTTTGCTTTCTATACGTGAGGCTCAGCACGGCGGAGATTTCCCCTTTGCTCACGACTGTGCGCGTTTTACCTGCCAGCGTGGTGACCCGTGTTGTCTGGGGAGCGAAGTAGTGGACGTTGGATTCGGGAATGAGGGCCACCTCGTAGGTGGTTTCTGGTGCGAGGCTGCTCAGCGTGAGGCTGGTGTGAGCCCCCGACACTTGCTGCGTCCTCTTCCTTCCCAGATCGTCGCTCGGGGCGTACTCCAGGGTGTAGTAGCCGGTTTCTTGGGAGAGGAGCTCGGGCCATGTCAGACGGAAGCTGGTGGAGGTGATATCTACTGCGTGGAGCCGGTTTGCTTGGATAACGTCTGGAAGAGAAACAGCAGCAAGAAATCAGTGCTGAGAATAATACACAGAATGTGGCACGTGTGAAATACAGGCTGTGTGTGAAGTACAGGCTGTTCTGGGTGGGAGACGGAGCCGACAGCAACCCTGGGTGACAGCTGAAGCCACCGAGGTGCAGCCGAGCCCTTCCGTAGCGATTCAGTGACCCAGACCCTCTTGGAAAGGTTCAGGAGCACAAAACAAAATCCTTGAAGCCAAGCATAAAGCTAAAAAAAATGCAAGACGTCACCTGAGGCAGCACTATTTGGGTTTTCACACCACTCCTGCCTCTGGGACCAGCCCCTTTGCAAAGGAAACGCAGGTGTCCCAGCCGCCACGGGGTGACATTTGGGCTGAAGCAATTGCTTCGGGGTGTCTGCACAGCAGGCTTCGGCTCAGGAATTCTCTGCACCTTGCCACCGTCTCCAGCCTCAAACCAGCTTATCACAAGCCTCCAAGTTGCTCCGTTCTCTCTGCCTGTGCTAAGCGCCAAGGGTGTTGTGACCTGCTGTGACAGGGACCAGGCACCGCGGGAGCCGTGCCCCTGCCCATCCAAGCCTGTCCTGCACCAACGGACCTGGAGCGGTCCAGCAAGGTCTGGATGTGTGGGAGATGCTGTGCCTGGCCGAACGGGCACCTGCCCACGCTCAGCACGATGTTCCCACGTACCCAAGGTGACAAGCAGCACTGGCACTGCCTGTGACAAAGCTGGGGACAGGTTCCAGGTTCATCCTGAGCTCCCTGGGGAAATCACCGACTACTGAAACCAAACGGCTAAATGTTGTCACGTGTGTGACCCAACCCAGAGCGCGCAGAATGCATCTCTCCCAGCTCTCGCCCGGAGCCGGTGGCTGGGAAGAAGGGACAGGAGCTGAGGACGGTCCAGCTTTGCTGCCTTCACCCCAGCTGGAGTCACAGAGCTCCACTGTTCTGGGACATTCACTGCTCAGAGCGGCTCTCGGGCCATCTCGCCTTTCTCTCCCCCTGCACAGAGGCTTCTCCTCAAGCCTCGTGCTACCTTTGAGTCCCAGACCCCAAACACAGACACGAACACCCCTTCGGACGCGCTGTGGTTCCCCAGCATCCTCTGCCCCTGCGCCCATCCTGGGCAGAATTCCGCTGCTCCCCAGTCTTCCCGAGGGCTGGAAACCACGGGACTTTGTTTCTAGCTCCAGGGAAGTGGCATACAAAGCCACAAAGATGCTCTTTTTGATTTTTTAAAGGATTTTTAAAAGCCTTAAAGGTGTGCATCAGTCCTGAAACCTTATCACAGCAGCCTCCAGCTCAAGCTGAAATATTTCAGAGTAGTTTAAGTGCCTCTCACCGGTTGCCCATTACCCAGAGGCACAAAACTCTGCCCAGACCTGCCAGGGAAGGGGGGTACCCTTGCGCTCTCAGACTTGTCCTTTAACTGGGAGGGGACCAGCTCTCCTCCTCCGAGCGGCTCCGAGTCCCTGGCAGCTTCCCCGTACCAAAGAAAGCCACCTCAGTTTTTCCTCTGAGCTGTTCCTTGGCTCTCCCAGGCAGGCAGGCAGGAACATTTCCCTGCTCCGTGCCCTGCCCGGCTCGCTGGAGGCACAGGGTGGGTGGCAGCACCATGGGGTCCGGGGCTCTGCACCCCTCTGCGAGCCCCCCACGGGGGGACCAGGGAACAGAGGAGGGGCCCCAGCGCTGAGATTCCTGCCAAAAGCTCCGGGCATGGAAATAAGTGAGTTTGGAGGCAGGGCCCAGGGACACTGCGAATAAATCGGGATTAAAGTGACGGGGTGCAATGCCCGGGGCACACGCTGCATGCGTCTACCAGCTCTGCCCCTTGTTGTTGGATTACTGATGCTTTGAGCATACAAAGAAGGCAATAAGCCCCAGAAAATAGATGCCTGTGGCATGCTTCTGTGTTCCCAGAGGGAAGCAGACAGTTAATCCCTTGCATTAGACCCAAGCAGTGCCAGGGACAGCTCGTGACACTCGCCTCCACCTCTTGGTGACCTGAAACACCGTTTTGCAGCCCTAAGTTTGCTGGCATCCCGTGAACGCCGGCAAGGTCAAGATGAGACTCACAGGAACGCTGCTGCTTTCACGATGTGTGTAAGGATCACAGAATCCCAGGAGGGTTTGGGTGGGAAGGGACCTTAAAGCCCACCCAGTGCCACCCCCTGCCATGGGCAGGGACACCTCCCACTAGCCCAGGTTGCCCAAAGCCTCATCCAGCCTGGCCTTGAACCCCTCCAGGGATGGGGCATCCACAGCTGCTCTGGGCACCCTGAGCTGTCCCACGGAGGGTTCTCAGCCCACCTGAGACAACAGCATCGCGTCAGCCAGGGACCATTGTGCTGGGGTGTCTGGAGCAGACGCGAAACACGTCACTCCTGGGCAGGAGGTGGAGGGAGGAGAGCAACTCTTGACAAAGCTCGTTTGTGCATCGACAAAAGGCTTTTAAAAAACAGTAACGAGAGATGAAGATAAGATAGCAACTCTAATAAAACCAGTCTGAGCCCATCCAGAGTTGGAAAGGGCTGATTTCTGCCTGCCAAGGGTCCTGCCTGTCCCTGCTCTCCCAGGGGCCAGGCGCAGGAAGGGTGGTGACATCCAGGCAGGGAAGAGCTGACATACGTGGCTTGATTAAGGCTAACTCAGGTGATGTTACCAACATCTGGCATTTTGCTTAAAGCACCAGCCCTTGCATTCATGTGGGAATCTCACCTTCCATTAAAATCCCAGACTAGTCACTTTTAGACCCGGTGGGTGCACAGAACATTGCCCCCAGGTGCCGCAGAGGATTTATTACCTGTGCAGATCTTACGACCTTCGAGAGAGCCTTATGCTGCAAGGATGTAGCATCCTCAGCCTGGGATGCTATTTTATACCACCTGCATTCAGGATTGGAGAACATAGTCCGTGTGTGTGCTTTGTGAAATGACGATGGTTGGAAATGGGAAGAAATTGCTCCGCACAGAGGGTTTGGTGGAAAGCGTTACTCGGACACTCCAGAGCCAGCTCCAACCAACTCTTTCCAATGGAGAGAGAACCTCCAGGAAATGAATGGAAAGTCTGCAGAGTCCTAGTAACTCGCTCAGCTTTCCAAACACACCCAGAGCATCTGGGAGGCTGAGGCAAAGCCCCGGCCGTGCACCGCAGGCGCTCCCACCGTGATGGCATTCGGGAGCCGCAGGAAGAACACTGAGCAGCGCAGCACGCAGGCTAGCACGAGATATTCCTCCTGGCTTCCAAATGCCTGTCTTCTGGATCAGATTATGGCTTTGGGATCCCTTTTCCTGGATGCTTTAAAGAACAGAACTGCTGAAAAATCAGATCTGCTGCCTGCTCCTGCTCCCCGCGCAGCGACC